AGTGGGAAGAATGTGAAAATGAACCTGGGCTACAGAATCAAATTCCCTGACTTTGACTCCTCAGTTTATCTGCTTGGTGACCTGAAGCCACTAGTTACTCCTCCTCTGAAAATAGATTAACAAGAAGATTCACTTCGTGGGAGGGAGAGGTCTTGAGTCAAGATATATGTATACAGGGCCTGGCACCCAATCCATGGCAGCCATTGGCTAGGATCAGGACAGATATGGTTGGCAGCATTCTTGTTGCCTAAAGGGCATCTGCCCTGATAAAATACAGATTTGTCCACCAGCCCTCCACTCCACTCAGCACTCTACCACTGTGCTTTTGAATAGCGTGCTCTGCACCCTGCCCATACAGTAGAAGGAGAGAAGCAATTCTGGCAAGCTGTCCTCTGACTTTCATGCTTGTGCACACACACAACAAATAATAAAACAAAGGGAGTTTAAATGACTTAGTGAAGCTGGGAGGTGGTGACACACACCTTTAATCCCAGCACTTGGGAGGCAGAGGCAGGATCTCGGTGAGTTTGAGGCCAGCCTGGTCTACAGAGCGAGTTCCAGGACAGTCAGGGCTACACAGAGAAACCCTGTTTCCAAACCAAAAAGAAGGAAAAAAGAAAAGAGAAACAAATGAACTTGGAGGTTATGTAGGAAACATTCTTACTTGTGTTTGCCTGAAACTATCTCAAAAGACACTCCCAGAGACACAAGCTCCCAGAGGCCACAACTTCACACATCTGTAGCAGCTGCCTGCTTAGCTCCATGTCACTCTTGTTATTAGTCATTGTGGCCAAGGATTATTGTTTTAAAATATTTGATGGCAGCATCTTTATCTTTAAAAACATTGCACAAGCTCTGTGACTACACCCATAATTTATGATGGCATGTGTGTTGCCACAGCAATGCCCTGCTGCTCCCAAGTAAACATTAAATGGCAGAATTCCTTAGATGATCTCTCTCTGATTTTTTTTTTTTACTTGATACTGAGGATCACACCCGGGCCAAGTATGCGCTGTGCTGCTGAACTACCACCTATTGACTGTCTTTGATTTTGGACTTGAGGCAGTGAGGCAGATAGAGAAAGGATTTTTTTTATATAATTTATTAAACTTTTATGTACACTGGTGTGAAGGTGTCAGATCTCTTGGAACTGGAGTTATAGACAGTTGTAAGCTGCCATGTGGGTGCTGGGAATTGAACCCAGGTCCTCTGGAAGAACAGTCAGTGTTCCTAACCCCTAAGCCATCTCTCCAGCCCAAGAAAGGATTTTTATATTATGGTCTGGACTGGCCTTGAACTCAAGATCCTCCTGCCTCAGCCTCCCAGTGCTAAAGTGTGGCTGTGTGCTCTTGTTTATATGAGCTGATTACTCAAGGATTGTGGGGTTGTTTCTCAAACATGATTACATACACACAAGATTATGATTTAAATATAAAATGTCCCCACAGTGGGGTTGGAGACATAGCTCATCAGTTAAGAGTACTTGCTGCTATTGCAGAGGACCCAAGTTCAATTCCCTGCACCCACATGATGGCTTACAACCAATCTGTAACTTCAGTTCCAGGGGATCTGATGCCCTCTTCTGGCCTCTGAGGGTACCAGATACACACACAGTTCACTTACATACATGCAAACAAAACACTCATACAGTACAAAAAAAAAAAGAAAGAAAAGAAAAAGAAAAAAAGTACACACAGGCTCCTGTGTTGAATGCTTGGCTCCACAACTGACATGCTATTTTTGAAAATTTTCAGGTTCTGCTTGAGGAAGTAAAAGACTCCACCTCACAGAGGAGAACAAAGTGAGCCTGGAAAGCTGATGGAAGCAGAAGGTTTGAATACAAAATCCAATATGGCTTGTGAATTTTACTCTTACTGTGAGCAACATGGCTAGGCCTTTGCTTCTATAGCCTTAAGGATCCCATGTTTGGGATCCAGAAGAAGAAAAGGAAGAGGAGGAGGAAGGGGGGGGAGGGAGAGAGAGAGAGAGAGAGAGAGAGAGAGAGAGAGAGAGAGAGAGAGAGAGAGAGAGAGAGAATGAGAACGAACGTTGGGCCGCCGTTCTGTCATACCTTCTGGAAAAATGCAAACGCCCATTTGCTGGATGGCGGGTGTGGCTCTGTAGTTGGGTATATACTTAGCATGAGGGGGTTCCAGGGTTCATTCCCCAGCACAGAAAACAGAAACTTGCATGGCCACCGCTCTTGACAGTGATGTGTCCTTACCTGGCCTGTGACCCTCCTTTTTCCTACTCCCCGCCAAGAACACAGTGGAAGTAGCCCTGGTCTCCTTTCTTTCGCCAAGTCTGCTTAAATTTTTCAGAAAGGTTTATGTGTATGAATGTTTTGCCTGTACCTGTCAGTGCACCATGTGCCTGAAGAGACCGGAGAAGGGCGTCAGATCCTCTGGAGCTGGAGTTGTTAGTGGCCCTGTGGGTACCGGGAAAGGAACCTGGGTCCTCTGCAAGAGCAGCCAGTGCTCTTAAGTGCTGAGCCATCTCT